AATCTTGGTTGTAGGTTCTTGCTATTCATCACTTTGAATATTTCTTGCCATTCCCTTCTGTCCTGCATAGTTTCTGTTGAGAAATCAGCTCACAGTCATATGGGTACTCCCTTGTAGGTAACTAACTATTTTTCTCTTGCTGCTTTTAAGATTCTCTCCTTGTCTTTACCCTTGGCATTTTAATTATGTGCCTTGGTGTGGTCCTCTTTAGTTTCCTTTTGTTTGGGGTTCTCTGTGCTTCCTGGACTTGTAAGTCTATTACAAGGTAGGGGAAGTTTTCTGTCATTATTTCTTCAAATAGGTTTTAATATCTTGCTCTCTCTCTTCTTCTGGCACCCCTATAATTCAGATATTTGGTATGCTTGAAGTTATCTTAGAGGCTCCTTGCACTATCTTCATATTTTTGTATTCTTTTTTTCCTTTTGCTTTTCCAGTTGGGTGTTTTTTGCTTCTTCGTATTTCAAATCTTTGACTTGATTCTTGGGATCCTCTAGTGTGCTGTTGGATTTCTGTATATTATTCTTTTTTTCAGTCAGTGTATGTTTAATTTCTAATTGGTCCTTTTTTATATCCTTGAGGGTCTCACTATATTTCTCGGAGGTTTCTAGAAGATTCTTGAATAACCTTAGACTCTATATCCAGTAGTTTGCTTTCCTCCATTTCTTTCATTTGTGACCTGTTTCTTTGTCTCCGCATTTTGGCTGCTTCCCTGTGTTGATAGAGTGTCTTTCTGTGCTAAGTGTCCTATAGGGCCCGGTGGCTCAGCCTCCCTAATTACCTGAGGTGGACCCTCTTGGTGCACCCCTTTGTGGGTTGTGTGTACACTCTTGTTGTAGTTAAGCTTTGATTGCTGTTGATATCACTGGGAGGAATTGACCTCCAGGCCAATTGGCTGTGAGGACTAGTTGTGTCTACAATGGGAGAACTTCTGTGCTGGAGACACCCGTATGGGGCAGTACTTACTTCAGTGGGGCTTTGGCGCTCACTGAGTCTGCCCCCTGAGTGTGTCTCTTATGGATGTGAAGAGTTGTAATCTGGATGGTCTCACACTGACCACTGGGTACACTGGCTCTTGGATCTCCAAGAAGGTGCAAAGTCAGCCACTGCCTGAGGCCACCCAGCAAGAGCTACAGAGAGATCTGCAGATTCCTCCTCTTTGTTTGGGGTTTGGAGGTGCCCAGATGAGGCACAGCTGTGAAGCAATAAAGGTTGCTGAGGAGTCTTAGGCCTTCTTTTGGAAGCTCTGTGGTTCTCTGACCCAGCTATAGTTTGACAGGTTTTTAGGCGGAGAAAGGCCAGGCCATTCATATGTATGTAAAAGCCTCTGTGCACAGCTTGGGTGGGGTTGTAAATTGGGTGGGGCAGGGTCTCAGGGAATCACCAAGGCAGAGCAAACCTCAATGGCTGCCAGTCTGCTCTGCCTCAGAAAGGTCCCGGGGTCTGTGTCCCACGGCCCTGTGCAGGAACAATGATCACTGCAAGCACCTCTTCGAGAAAGCCGCCCTCACATTCCGGCCTGATGCCAGACAGTCCAGTGTCTCTCCATATGAGTCTGGGTCCCCAAATTCTCATCCAGAACTGGAGTTCAGAGCAGGTGGGGGCTTGTTTCTCACTCCCGATTGAAAAAGATAACAGCATACCCAGCCGCCAGCCCCTTTAGCCCGCGCCTCCGTACCTCCGCACTTCCACACCTCTGCACCTCCTACCAGACTCAATGCACTCTTCTCTTTCCTTCTAGTTGTAGAATTTCCACTCAGCCAGCCTTCCCGTGGTTCTGGATGATATTCGTTTTGTCTTTTAGTTGTAGTTTTAATGTGGTTGTGCAAGGCAGCAAGTTCAGGTGTTTACCTATGCTGCCATCTTGGTTCTCCGCTAGTATATTTTTGATTACTGATTCAACCTCTCTACTTGGTACAGGTCCTCTCAGATTTTATATTTATTCTTAAGTCAGTCTTGGTAATTTGCTTGTTTCTAGGAATTTGTTTATTTCATAGTATTCTCTTATAATTCCTTTTTATTTCTATAAAGTCTGCAGTCATGTCCACTCTTTCATTTCTAATTTAGCAATTTTAGTAGTCTCCATTATTTTCCTAATTAATCTAACTAAATGTATGTCAAATCTGTTCATCTGTTAAAAGAACCAAATTTTGGTTTTGTTGATTTTCCCTGTTGGTTTTACATTCTCTGTTTTGGTTATTTCTGCTCTAATCTTTAGTGTTTCCTTTCTTTTGGGATTTGGGTTTATTTTGTTCTTTTTCTAGGTCCTTGTGGTGCAAAGTTAGGTTATTGAGTTGAGATGTTTTTCTTTTTTAATATAGATATATATAGCTATAAATTTCCCTTCGAGTACTGTTTTCTTTGCTTCCTTTAACTTTTGGTTTATTCTACTTTCATTTTCCCCTATCATTTTTAAGATTCTGTCCTATGTTTCTCTTCTCTATTAAATCTCTTGAGAGATCAGCCCCAACCCTCTTTCTAAACTTGTTTCATGCTGAGCTAAAGTAGCATACTATATCCCTCTTTTCTATAGACAGGCCTACGCCAATCCGCTAGGTTAGAAACCCCAAAGTTTCTCTGATTTTTCCGTTTTTCTTTTTTTTTTTTTTTTAGTTAAATTTATTTGAGTGACATTGATCAACATGAACATATAGGTTTCAGCTGTGTTTCTATGTTTCTCTGTGTTTTTATTAAATCAACTCAGTCCTACCTTTCTCCTCTCCTTTCTAAAACACTGTTTTCCTTATACTTTCCCAATTCTAAAAAATACTCTATATTTCTTAATACCTTTCAAAAAATTATTCAGTAAT